GTACTCCTGGGGTGGGGGTTCACTCTGCTCTGGAAGTTCATGAATGGGCTTTTGATGGAAGCAAAAGGGAGAGCCACACAGCTACTCAAGGTCAGATTTCTTCCCTCCAAGACCTGGTGCTCTGGGGATCCCTTCACAAGGCTCCCAGGCCCAGATGGAGGCTGTCTCTAGGGTACCCAGAAGCCCCAGTGAGGAGTAAGGCCAGACCTCACTGTTCAGTCTCCCTACTCTGCAGGGGACACTCTGTCCCATATTCCATATAGGGGAGGTTTACATCTCTACCTGAGGACTAGTGAGTCAGCAGTGCCATGTCAGGGCAGGACACTTGAAGGATTTCCACAGCCTCAGGAGTTCCCAAAGTGTTCTGCCACCTAGTCACAGGACCCTGAAGCAGGTCAGCTCGTTTATTTGCCTCCTCTGCCATGCACTGCCTCCCTGGTGTGAGGACACTGAGGCCCCAGGGCCAGGGGCCTGGCAGGGTAGGGGGCTACCCCAGGTATCTTGAAGGATCTCATTGGAAGATGCCCTCAGCAGTGTGGCCTGGATGACCCCCTTGGCTGGTCTAAATCAGGAGGTGAGATGGGTTTCAGGCAGCCTCTGGGCCTCAGAGACTAAAGAATGGAACAGGCATGTGAATACTGTAATTGTCTAGTAAACACAAGCTGGCCCATTGGTCTGTTTCAGGCCCATTACAGCCAGCTGGGTGAAGGATGGAGGTGGATGGATTAGGGGTTCCCCAGGCCAATACAGGATCTCTTCCTGATAGTCCTTCCTGAATGATCCTGCTGTGGGGGAGGTTATTGAGCTGGCTCAGCATCCTGCAGATCTCTAGGACCTGCTGTAGGCATCCTTGGCCAGCTGATTACCAAGTAAGGCTTTCGAGTAACGACCCAAGGCAGGTATGGTGGGGCCTGGAGAGCCTGGTTAGGACCGGAGGCCCTGGAAAAACCATAATGCTGCATACTAGAGGCAAATGCAGACTATACATTCTTTCTTCTTCTTATTAAATGGTGGGGAAATGTAAAACCCAAGGCAGACAGAAACAAATGAGTGGAAGGCTGTCCACTCAGATATTATTAGTAGCTAATGCTGTATGACTGGAGAGCGTTTTCATCTTTCTCTTTTTATTTCTTCATCCACTAGACTTTCAAAAGGAAAATATATGTTAGTTAAGATCAAAAGAAATGGCTGGAAGGATTTTCCTTCAGCTCTAGGAGAAAAACAAAAAACAAAAAAAACCAACAACTCCCAGTGTCAGTGTCAGCATCCAGGAAGGTTATGCCTTGAAGGTGGACCTGGCTTCACCGCCAGATTTCACAAGCCATGGTCGTTTTGCCAAGACACCTAGCATCCTTGTCTGCACTTGGACCTCACGTCTGTCTCACAGATGTAGTTATGCTGGGATGACCGGCCTGGAATGAGGCTGATATGATGGGGAAGGAGCCGGCACCAAGGGATGACTATCTTCAGGCTGCTGGGGCCTCAGGCTCTGGAGCTGTGGGTTCTTCCTCCTCCTGCTGGGTTTCCTCTGTCACCTGCCTAACCTCCCACCCACCTCCCATTACTCTAATGGAAGCCAATCTCAGTTCTCATCTCAGCCCCATTACCACCCACAGAGAGAAGTGGGCTGCAATTCTGAGAGCTGCTGCAAGGCGACTGGCCAGCTCTTGGGTCATCCATTGTTCTGAATGTCACTGGGCCTGTAGCTGCAATTACAAGCTTATTCAGCTCCCAGAGCACAGCCCTGTCATCACAGTAGTGAGGAGGTGGTAGGGAGGGGCAAGGCCAGGTCCCCAGCCAGGAGTGGGAAGAGAGAGAGAGAGAGAGAGAGCCTGGCACATAGCTGCTTTTTCCTGCCTGGTCACAGTGATGCAGAATGGGGGCTTCTCCAGCTCCCCCAGCTCCTGCTTGAAGGTTCGCCTCCCTGGCTGGCAGACACTGTTTGCTTGAGCTGTGTGGGAGTCAGTCTTATTGGCTGCGCACTGAAATGCTGCCTCTTCATCCTGCTTCAGCACCCTCTGCCCGTCCATAACTGCACCAGGGAGCCTGTCCCTGCCTCCCCTTCCCAGACAAGTTTTCGGATTTCTTCAGTTTCAGCTCTTCCCTCACTCACTGGCAGGCTCCCTGTCTGGGGACCTGGAGAGGCTGTCATCCCTTTCCTGTGGCTTCTCTGCTCCTGTGGGAGCCAGTGGGGCGGGGGTCCCTCCAAACCCCTTGTGACTTTCTGTCTAGAACGTTGGCCTCAGGCTAACACAACTGAACAGATAGGTAAAGTGCTCTTGCATCCTTCAGGAAAAGAGCCCAAGGATTAAGATACAGGTAGGCCCCTGACTCAGACCTGTAGTATAGAGTTGGGTATTGGGGAAGGATGACACGTTATAAACTTGTGTTGACCTTGACCTCGGCTGGAAAGCAGGGAAAGACTAGGTGTAGCTTCCAGAACTGGCTTAAAGGTCTTACTGACTGGATTTTGGAATACCTGTCACTCAAAGTCTTCTGTTGACACCGTTAGCTTTTCTCAAGAAGCTCTCTGTCTGGACACTAACAGAGTTGGTCAGAAGCCAGTCTGGCCATGGCAAGGAGTTTAGGGTTAGTCCAGAGGTCTGCCTGTGTAAGCCTTTCAGCCTGGTCTCTGACCTCTTAAAATGAACAGTTAGGAAGTTTAGTCTATTGTCTCTGGAGGTAGGATTACTGGTCCAGAGAAAGGGACAAAGGGCTGTGTAGGGGTCAGCGATAGGGTCAGGAGATGTTGAGAGTCAGACAGACCAACAGACACATGAGTTGTTGAGCAGTCCTCCCAAAGGATCCAAGAAGCTGGCATCAGGCTGATAGAGACAACAGACTATAGGAGACTAAACCAGATAGTCAGGGCTATCGCTGAGATCTGGAACAGGCCACAGACCTAGGATGACTGCCTGCCCCACAGAGAAATGACTCCCCCTTCTATGTGGGGCCTAAGGGGCCTTCCTGGGACATTCCTGAGAACCTCCCACCTCCTGCCTTTCCTCCTCTGGTACTTTCAGTCTCTAAGCCTATTGCCTGAACTTCTAGAGGAGACACAGGAGAGCTCCTGGGAACTAAAAGAAGGTTTTTTGTTTTGTTTTGTTTTGTTTTCTAGCATCCACCCCAAACCTTGAAAACAAACTTCACCCTTTACAGGAGTACTGAACTCCTTCCTGAGGCTGCTGGATATGGTGGGTCCAGGGGAGCCAGGTTGTAGAACACGGAAGAATGGAAGAACGTGAGGGTGGAAGGGAGGAGCTGGGAAAGAGTCTGCCGAACCTGGCCCTTAGCTTCCCTGTTCACCCTCCCCAAAGAAGCCAGTGCCAGCACAATGTTCACTGAAGATGGAGCTGACTGCTGGGGTGGGAGGCCGCTTCTCCTCTGCCAACCAAACAGTGACAGTTGACAGGAAGGAGCCAGGGCCCTCTGTCTAATCCTGTAGTGTCAACTGGGCCTCCTAGAATTCTTCATCTCCCCTCCTCTTATGTCTCCCATTTCTCTTCTTCCTAACTCCCTGATGAGCTGTTTTCACTTTGGTGTTATCCCAGTGCCCTACTAGATAGGGCAAAGGGCTTCTTAAGGAGAAAAGTGAGCCTTGGGTGTTTTATGCCCCTGGACTTGGACTTGGCCCCAGACTTGGCGGAGACCATGCAAAAACGGCGTGTACTTAGCCCTCCCTCCTCCAGCCTGGCCAGAGTCAGGGAACCCCACCTCTTCCTAAGCCTTGGATTTAAGGACCCTCACTATGCTTCCTATGTTGGCCCACCTGACATCTGAGTAGCAATACTTTTCTCTCTCTCTCTCTCCCCTCTCCGTGTGTGTGTGTGTGTGTATGTGTGTGTGTGTGTGTGTGAGAGAGAGAGAGAGAGAGAAAGAGAGAGTGAGTGTGTGTGTGTGTGCTTTTTCTTTTTTTATATTCCTCATTGTTTCCCAAGGAGTTAAAGAAGACAAATTATAGACTCTTGGAATCTCAAGTGTGAAAATGGTAAGTATTGTAGGTTCAAGACCCCAAGTTCACACCCAGGTGCTGGTGTTGACTGTATGACTGTGGGCCGCCCATGACTCAGGCTCACTCTCCACCCACGCACAGCAGGGAGGACTGGTTACCGCTTGCTCTTCCTCAGGGAGCTACTTGGACATCAGCGACATTACATATAGACGCTACTTTCTAGACAGACCCAGCCCTTACTGTACCGATGAGGAAACTGAGAGCCAGGGCTGTTAAAGAATGAAAGTAATTCCCATGTCTAGAAATTCAAGATGGGGCCAGAAACACAAGTGATGTGAGGGAAAGAAAAACGAGAGGAGTGAAATCAGCGGAGACTGAGAGAAGAGCAAAGAGAGAGGGAGGTGAAGAGTAATGTGGGTGAGGAGGAGGGCCACTAAAAGCACAAGGCAGGGAGGGAGAGAAGCACGGAGTGGGGCGCAGTGAGAACGTGGCAACAGGAACACGAGGAAAGACGACGACGATGGAGGCAGGAGGGAGTGTGATTGGCCTAGACAGAATGAGGACAGCACAGAACAGTGACACCATGCCCTTCCTCTCCAGGTTGTCAGCCGGCCCAGTGAGGGCTGAGGAATCTTTAAGATCAAAGCCAGTCTCCTTGGCCCCCTTTTGGGAGGAGAAAGATGGGAAGGAAAACGGAATCTGCCACAGAAAGGCCAGGCAGCGTGCATGGGTAGAGCATCTGTGGAGTCCAGCCACCCCGTCACAAGGAATACCCATATCTGTAAAGTCAAATTCATCGCTCTTGTTTGCCAAATCCATAATTTACACAAGCTGATCAGGGGTGTAGAGCAATGGGGTACAATGACCTTGAAGAATGGGAATCGCTCACGTAGGACCAGAGGAAGGAAAGAGGAATGGGAGGATGAGGAGGCAGAGAAAAGCAAAACAGACCACACAAGACTAACAGGAGGCCAAAGCAGCTAGCACTGGGCGCTGGGCTCAGAGGGGGAGGAGGGCAGCAGGGAACGGAGGAAGGTCCGGTTCGCACCTTTGGGAAGCCAGGTCGGAGCAGGCAGGCTTCTGCTCGGTGTCAGCGGCGGGGCAGCAGAATTGGTGGAGCACAGTCTCATTCCTGCAGGAAGAGAGAAGAACAGAGCGTAAGGCAGGCTTAGCCCTGTGCTGAAGACTCCTCAGCACCCGCCACCACCCCCCCGCAAAAAAAAAAAAAAAAAACAAAAAACAAACAAACCTGGCCACCCATCTCTGCCTGGAACCCCCAGTGGAACGCGCAGGCCACCAAACACTGCTCTGGAGGAGGGCGCACAACCGGTGTTCTGTCTATCCACGTTTTCTCAGTCATCACACTGGCCCTGAGCACAGTCCCCTGGTTTCCCCCGCTCTCAGTACGCGTCTCTGCAGGAGGCCCCCACCTGGGACTCTCTGTTCGTGGAGCTGTCTTTTATCCTAGCTCTGTATGATCCTGTTCCTTAGGAGTCTCGTGTAAGACAGAACAAGGCCTAAACACAAGGACTCGGCATCAGTAAACAGCTGTGAAGCCCACCGCGCGCAAAGCCTCCAACGTGTTGCCTCCTGGAAGTTCGGGGCGTGCTGCCAGGTCTTAGGGGGTGAGAAGGTCTAAGTGCGGGTTCTAGCTGGAACTCCGGGTAGCCCGCTCTTCTTCATGTTTTGCCTTTGTGGGGCTCCGTCTATGTGATCGATTGAGACACCTTGCACTTTTACTGAGATCAGGAGGTTGAGCTGGAGAAACGGTTCTCAACCTCAGCTGCCCATTAGAGCCACTGGATTTGGAAATAGACCAGCGCCTGGGTCCTGCACTCCTGGGACGCTGAGCCCCGTGGTCTGCCAGGGGCTCAAGCACCAAGGCTCTTTATAAACTCCAGGCCGCCATGGCCCCGCCCTCCGCGCTAACACATAGTGGCGCTAATACTGCACTTGTGTGGGGCTACCTTGCCCTGTCGTCAACTCTCCTTTCTTAAGTGACAGAATGAATGTCAGGTCTAGAGGACCCTGGGTCATCCGAAAGAGGGTTTCAGACTTCTTTTAGGTCCAGAGTACGTTGTCCAAACCAAAATTTTACTTAAAGCACATTTTGTAAAACCACAAAGGGGGAACAAGTAGGCCTCTGGGGAGCAGAAATTTTATGCTACTTTGCAGACATTGAGCTCTAATACACCCGTAATGAAAAAGACAAAGCCAAGAGAGAAAAATGTGAAAATAGTCCGAAGAAGAAGGAGGAGGAGGAAGAGGAGGAGGAGGAGGAGGAAGAGGAGGAGGAGGAGGAGGAGGAGGAGGAGGAGGAGGAGGAGGAGAAGAAGAAGAAGGAGAAGAAGAAGAAGAAGAAGAAGAAGAAGAAGAAGAAGAAGAAGAAGAAGAAATTCTCTAAAGAGCCAATAAATATATGAAGAGATGTTCCACATAGCTTGTAGCTGGGAAAAATGCAAATTAAGGTAGCACTGAGGTACCATAGCCCATCCATCAGTCGGACAAACATTAACAAGATTGCTAACTCCCAATGTTACAAGGCTGTGGGAGACAGGGGCTCCCCACTCTGCCTGAGTAGATAGGAATTCTTATAGCTGCTTGGGGGGAATTAGAGAGGACATGCCTTCCCATCCAGAAATACCACTTCTGGGATTTTATGCTTTCAGGGACTCAAAAATGTTTCTCAGAAAGGTGTTTAAGGGAGTGTTGCTTTTGGGAAGAAAGAATAGCCAGTCAGGAAGGAATGGGTGGTAAAACAGTGGGACCTTCATCCACATCTTGTAATTACATGCCTTTCCAAAAGAACCAGCACTTTATCTCTTGGTCTGTGGATAGATGTTCACACTTGTGGCTAAATGAGAAAGATGTTGCAGAGAAAAGTATAGGGTACAAGCCCAGTTCAGTAATAAACAGGGACTCCCATCCCTGTGCTTCTTAGTTTTATACGAGTTAGGTTCATCTGGAAAGAAGAACCCTCAACTGAGAAAATGCTTGCGTTTGGTTGACCTCTGGGGGCATTTTCTTGATTAACCATTGCTATGGGAGGGCTCAGATTGCCGAGGGCAGGGCCACTCCTGGGCAGGTGATCCTGGATTGGATGAAAAAGCAAGCTGAGCAAGTCATGAGCCATTCCACAGTGCTCGTTTCTCCCCTGTGGTCTCTGTTCCAGTTACTGCCTCCGGTTTTCTTTCTGAGTTCCTGCTCTGAGTTCCTTCAGTGATGGACTGTGATATGGAAGTATTAGCCAAACAAACCCCCCCCCTTTTTTTTTCTCAAGTTGCCTTTGGTCACGCTGTTTATCACAGGCAACATAACGCAAACTAGGACATCCCCAAACGTGAATTCTGCATGTGTGAACTCTGTGTTTTATGTGCCAACTAAGCTGTTAAGTTCAGCTCCTGCAGCAGATGAAACTGAGAAGAAAAGGTCAGAAGTAGAAAAGAAAAAAAAAAAAAAAACAACAACAACAATGTTTGGTATGGCAGTGATTAAAAAAGTTAAATATAAATTCTTGTTTATGCCATTCCATTACTATAAATACATTAAACACTAATGTATACTTGGATGGGAAGAAAGAGTGTCAGAAACCAGCACAAACACTGATGTCATCTCAGAGATCACACATGGTTTTCATCCTGAATTTTCTAATTTAAAGACTGTCAATTATAGGTTAAGATACAACCTATGATTATGGATTTGTTAATTTATTATTCAACGAATATGAGCTTGTAAAAGGCCAAAGGCTGAAGACATAGCTCAATGAGAGAATGGAGGCTTAGCACACACAAGAGCATGAATTCAATGTCTAATGTGGCCAAAGAATAAATAAAAGGGCAGCAAAGAAAATAGTTGGAGCTGGGGTGGTGGCTCAGTAGTTAGGTGCTTCCCACCCAAACATGAGGACTGGAGTTCAGGTACCCACCCAGCACTTCATAAAGTCTGTTACCCCAGCAGTGGGAGCAGAGAGCTAGGAGGTTCCCCAGAAATCCTCTGGCCAGTCAAGGTTCAATTAAAAAAAAAAAAAAAAAGGAATGCATGGAGGAGATATGTAGTGTCAACCTCTGACTTCCCAAGTGACCACATACCCTCCTATATATAGAGAGGGAGTAGGGGGGGCAGAATTAATAATAATAATAATATTAATAATAATAATGAGGAGGAGGAGGAAAAATACATGTCTGACTCTAACCACTCACGTGAGAACAGAGACAATGTGTCTAGCATTGTTCTATGGTCAGTCTTCCAGCTTCCTCCACCTCCTCCCCCTGCTTGGCTTCCTGGGACAAATCAGAAGCCTTAGAGAACTGTCTGGAACCAAAAGACATTGTGATAACATACAGGACTTCCTGGCTTGAAAAGGGGAGTTGGAGGAAGGACCCTTGCAGGAAGTAGAAGAGCCTAGAGCCTCAGCAATGGCTGAGGGGAGCATATGAGGATGAAGCCTGTTTACACCTCCAGTCCCGGTCCATCGGCCTCTGCTATGTCCACAGCAGGCTGAGAGCTCCTGGCCAGGCCATCAGTCACATAGGCAGACAAGCAGCCTGTTGCCCAGTCAGATGATGGTATTTCAGGAATGAGAAGCCACAGTTCCCAGCGGACCTGGGCAGCTTCTGAGGGCTTGCAGACTGCCCTTCCCTCTCTCCCGAAGGGGAGCGCTAAAGAGGAGGCCAAAGAACTGACTCATCCTCACTAGAGATGAAACAGGATCTGTGATGGGAAAGGGTCTTCCCCTGTGGCCTTCCTTCTCTGGAACTCATAGCCCCGGTGTGATCATGAAAAACACAGCAAACCATTTAGGTTCTAAATCAGGGATGTTCCACTAATACTCTCCCAAGCTTCTAAGAACATAAACCCCAGAGGAGATGAAATTTGACACGGCCAGAGCACACTAACTAGACAAGATAACAGCATGTGACGTGCCAGGAGCCCAGGTCCTGGACCACAAAAGGGACACCAGTGGAAAAACAGAGAGTGTTTAGATAAAGTCTCAGGTGATCAGGACAGATGGTAGATGATAGAAAAGTGACAGATGATAGATAAATGATGATAAAATGCCAAGGGATACACCACTGATTGTGTTTTATCGCTGTATATTGTTTCTATACATTTTACACATATTATTATTCTTTTTTTTTTTTTTTTTACAAAACCCCAGTACCCACCAGAACTTCCTCAAGCTATCGAGGAAACCGACGCGCCTGTGTTTGGGAGCTGCCAGGGACACATCACGTTTGCATGTGCTCACCTGCCTCCTTACGGCAACCCTCCCTGTTGTGCTCTGTCAGCCCCTTTTTGTACAAAAGAGAAAGGAGGTAAATGGCTTGCCCAAATTTATTGTCACAGCATGAATATAAAATTCCCAGGGCCATGCGTTTGGTCACTTGGTCCCCAGCTGGTGGCCATTGTCTTGGAAGTCTGTGGACCCTTCAGACATGGAGTTCAGTCTGTGAAGAGTCTATTCAGTTCCAGTTCTAACCAGAGTTCCCTGCTCCCTTGTCTGGCTGCCCTGTGAGGGACTTGTCCACACACCCTCCCACTGACACCAACTGAGCTGACACCGCCTCTACATCCTCCCACCTGAACGATGGACTGACCCCTCCTCCACCAAAACCATGAGTCTAAACAACCATTTTCTCTCATGCCTAGTTTCCATCAGCATTTGGTCAGTGCGACAGAAAAGGTGGCTAATGCAGACACAGGGCTGGCTGGTCACTAAGGTACAGCAAACAGTAGCCGAGCAGGCCGCTTCAGGGAGTGTGCCCCTCACCCTTTCTTATAAAGCTTTTGGGAAACTGAGATCAGTGCCTGGCACAAGGATGACTCTCAGTCCATTGACAAAGGCTGAAGCTCCAGGGAGGCTGAAGCTGGGAAGGAAGCCATTTTGGGCATGCAAACTCAGAAATAGCAGCCTCACGAGGTCTCTGCTTAGGTCTGATGCTTAGGTCTTAGAACTTGTATCTGATTCCCTAATCTTCAGTACACAGGTTCTCTCTTCTCTTTCTCTCTTCCTCCCTCTCTTCCCATCCTTCCGGAGAACCATCCCCGCCTGGAGGAACTGTTCTAGAGGTTGTGAAGGAACCCAAGAGGCAGGAGGAAGGGGGGTAGTAGGTTTGATCCCGGGGTTTTCTG